TTAAAGGGTTAGGGTTTTGATTTTACAATTATTGAGGTCCAGTACACTGTAATAAATCACAAAGGCTGACATGTGAGATGTAAGATGATAATTAGAAAATACATGTAACATTTATAATAACTGTCGAAATACTCTTTCCTTTAATAAAGTGGCCATAGAAGTAGAATTGTTTATCTTAAATGTCCCATGTCATGCTTTTCCGGTTATTACCCGTCCCCTTGTGTGTTATGTAGCTTGTTCTGCATGTACAGTAAACGGTCTGCAGAGTCACAAACCCTCAAAGTACACCCTGCAGTGAGTACAACTCTAACACAGAAAATACCTGTCTATGCTGCCCCAGAACGCCTCGTTGGAGATTTCTCATTTTCTTCTTCCTGGGCCTATTGACGTCACTACGTCCAAATGGACAAATTGGCACACAGCTACAGTATAGAACAATAGGCACACCCTCTGCCAGGGTGGACTCCCAAGCAGCTCAGGAGTCCACCCGGGAAACTGGTGTGAGCGGACAGTGTGAGGTGGATTTCCCGCTGTGTTTCCCAAACTCAGCGGAGCTCCGCAAACACACACACACACACACACACTCACTCAGCTCCGCAAAACAACATTGTTTTTAAAATCTGTGATGCTATTCCTGCCTGTTTCTCCAAACTCAAGGCTTGCCGGACGCTGCCAATGTAAGTAATACACCAGCTTTGGATAAGTTCCTCATAAAACTCCACTTTGAACAATCCAAACTTTCCTTCTAGATGCACAAATGGCTCTTTCCAACAAGATCGCACCAAGGTACAACAAGTCCAATCTGTTGAATCTAAAACTACTCTTCCTAATTAATTTAATTTAACAGTTATTTTTCTCTAAAATGATCTCTTAAATTACTGCTATGAAAAAAAAGAATATAAGTCAGTTCTAGATGGACAAAAAATTCATAATTTTCCAAATCTGCTCCTACTCAGGTGTGCTGAATAGAATACTGTTTTTAGATTTAGATTTTTAGATTTCTTATTTCTGATTTCTGAGCTTAGTAAGTTTGCCCTTGAGCAATCATACATTGTTAGACTAATACAAATAATAATTCTTACGTTTATCGATCTTGCATAAGGACCAATGTCTCTCTTCAATGTTATTAAAGTTTCTGTAGCACTAGCCCATACAAAATATATAATCTGTCTTTACCTGTGTGAACGCCTGAGACCACTCTTGTATTTTTGTCTCGCCTAATGTGCAGACACAGTATCAAGCTGAGCGACACAATGTGAAGATGACTCAGTAAGGCCATGTGCAAATCATGTTAGTTGAGTAGGTCAACCATATAGCAATGCTTCTTATTATCTCTCGGTTGAATTTCGTTGTGTTATGATCAACCTTGATCATCAATCCTTTCTATAAAAAAATGTATTCTACCTCCTAGATGAAATCAAGGACAAATGCATGCTGTTATAATAAGAACACTGTGTACTGTTGGAGCTAGATAAACACTCAGAACTAGGCCAATCTCTGCTGCATTTACAGTATGTGGCTTCAAATACTGAGCTCTCTCCAACACGCTCCTCTTAGGGCGGTTTTCCTATCCTATCCTTTATTACTGTAATGATCTCATTCTCCCCTTCGTTATAGTATCTCTCTTAGTAATCATGATCATCTTCCGTCATTCCAACCAGCCATCTTTCCATTATCAGTTCATCAATTAACTGATACATCAATCTGTACATCTGTCGGTCCATCTATTCCTCCTTCCCTCCTTCCGTCCATCCCTCCCATCTGTCTGGTTATCTGACAGGCCGCCTCCTTCTCCTTTGTCGTGTGTGTGTGTGTGTGTGTGTGTGTGTGTGTGTGTGTGTGTGTGTGTGTGTGTGTGTGTGTGTGTGTGTGTGTGTGTGTGTGTGTGTGTGTGTGTGTGTGTATTTTTAAACAGGAATCCATATGGTGTGGGGTGTCTCATTAACAGTGACTGACCCGAGCCTCGGTCTAAGAGACTCAAAGTGCATTGATTTCAATTTCGGGGCGAATCTGATGATTGAATTGATATTCTACACACAAAAGGTATTTTGAAATATGTGTATATATTGTAAATAATTAAGGAACAGGTTTGTAAAAATGTTCTCATAATTATTATTTTTCATATCATATAAAATAAAAATGTATAGTTTCAAATATATTACATGCATTAAAGTGGCTAACACTTCATTAAGATTAACTTTCGCTTAAAAAAAAATATATATATATATACAGTGGGGACAAAAAAGTATTTAGTCAGCCACCAATTGTGCAAGTTCTTCCACTTAAAAAGAGGAGAGAGGCCTGTAATTTTCATCCTAGGTATACCTCAACTATGAGAGACAAAATGAGAAAAAAAAATCCAGAAAATCACATTGTCTGATTTTTAAAGAATTTATTTGCAAATTATGGTGGAAAATAAGTATTTGGTCACCTACAAACAAACAAGATTTCTGGCTCTCACAGACCTGTAACTTCTTCTTTAAGAGCCTCCTCCGACCAGAACTGGATGTCACCGCGAGAGAGAATCACACCAACGACCCAAAAACATGAAAGCAGAACACTAGTCTAAAAGACAATCGAACAAGGCCGACGCAACGGCACTCGGGGAAAGAAGAACAAGAACAATGCCGCCCCATCTAGACCAGCGTAACACTATCCGCAGCGTCAGCACACACTCCCTAATAGTCACCCCCGAACAATCCCAACAGTCGAAAGGATGTATAACGAGGTGTCAACAAGAAGCGGAGTGCGACAAACAAATGGACACGAACACAGTCAAGAAGGGCCAGACCACGCCAGATAGCTAAACAAGACCACACGAAACCATCGAGAAAATACGCAGACCGACATAACCGAGCCTAAACACCACACACCGACAACTACCCACAACAGTCCACAGAAACCCCATAGACACTAGCTTAAAGCTATGCAACGTAATAATGCGTCAACAACACTACCCACTCTCC